TTTGTCAGCATAGGGTGGGGGTAATTGGTTTTATCTTTAGTCTGAACTGTTAAATATGGTTGAAAAAAATTGTATATAATATGAGAACTGTATAATTCTGAAAGTGATTTAAAACCAGTAAAAAATCACGTCGGCATGTAAGAGAATTTAATAAGAACCATTTTGTAATCTTATATGGAGTGTGTCTTTACTAAGAAGCATCTGTAGATTGTATTTTTGGTTCAGCTTAATGTTTAAATATAAAAGGGTATTTATTGATGTTTCAATTGGCATTTTTTATAATTTACCGAAAAATATTTGTAAACTATCGGTTTACGTAAGCGTTCCCCTTTTGATAATTGATTAAGTAAACGCAGACCTCGAAGAAGACACCCGTTGAGTTAAGAATTTATTGTTATTTGTAGCAATATCAAATATAATCAGCAAACATTATTTTATCCTTATAATTGATATTTTCTTACAACACTTCATCGAACCCAGGTCATCTCATGAATATTATTGCTGGTTGCCCTAGTGAATAGTAAGCGGCCGACTGTTATCGCCGGTTAGCTTCGCAATAGTCATTCATGTTTACCGGTTTCTATGCAGGCTCATTTTTGGGGGCCGGCAAAGCCGTCGAAAATTTACTTTCGATTTCGTTCACAACAATTCTTTATTTTGGGTAGAATATTCATTTCATCCTGTTTTCGACATGATAGGTTATGTTCAATTACCACTTCGTCTTGGTTAGCTTATTCATTTCATTACTTATTATCAGTTCTAACTAGTTAAAATTCCCCCAACCGAATTAAAAATAATTATACTAGTCAACAAAAGAAACGATACACAAGTTTGAACTAAAATTTATCATAAAATATAATAAATAGGAAAATCTTTTAAATTATCATATGAAAAACATTCATTTACAAAGCAAATGCATATGATTAAAAGAATATGACCAAATTAGAAAGTTACAAAATACCAAATTATTGAACACAGGGGTCAAATTTATTTTGCAGAAAAGTCGGCACTTAATTTCGAACATGATAATTAAGTATTCAAATATCTGCAAAGGCATTCAAAATTTTAAGCAGACCATGTTTAAGTTTAACAGTTTAAAGTTCTAACACCGATTTTTGAATTTTTGGGTGAAAATACGATTTTTGAAATAACAAAAATTTTAGAAATTTTTTTCGCGTTTTTGCTTTGGTTTTGATGAGAAAAATAACACTCTGTAAAAATTAGACGAATAGGGCAGTTATTTACTTTGGTACAGTGTATTTAATTTGATGATATATGGAAAATACATTGCCTTGTATCGTTTCTTTTGTTGACTAGTATAGTAGTCCCTTCCTTTTTTTTCATCGTATTTGTCAATGTTAAAGCTTAATGGGATATATTTAAATTTTTTCTGTAACATTTGTATTGAATATCTCCTTGGTTTGCTGTTATTGTATTTTAATCTTTATCTTTGTAAAAATTTCTTACCGTGCAACAATGATGAGTTTTTAACAGCCTTCACTAGCTATACAGCCCTCGCACAGTCGGCTACCCCGTCCCCCTCTCCCACCATTGTTGTTCGAAGTTTATGAATAATCATAATGAATCTCATGAAATGGGCATAAAATGAAACTGAAAATAGCTTAATTATATATAATTTCTGCAATTGTTTGTTACATGATCATTAATTGTAAATAGATAAATGCTTGACACCTTATGATACAAGTATTTGTTGTTTTACGCATCAAAGAAGACTTAATATTTCAATTATTCTAAAGTAATAATTTTTAAAGGGAGGTAAATCATATTTTTTAAAGATTTATAACAAAAACTTTATTCCACATTTTCGTGCTTTTTAGGGTTAAATTGTTAAAGAAAAATGCTGCTTCACATTGTGTTTTAAAAAAGAAATTCCTTATTTCTCCACTCTTGTAGTGTTCTATATTTTTTTTAAATTTATTTCTCACTCTTTCAACGTGCAGCGCGGTGTGCTAATAAAATATACAAATGTCTTTTAATTCTTGAACAAAAAATGAAAATGTAAAATTCAGTGGAGGATTCAGATAAAGCGTGGTTGGTGTACGACACCCTCCCCTTTAAACGGAAAAATATCTTCTTTTTTTCGGCAGATAAAATCGTTCAACATTTTTTTGCAATCCTCCTATCAGCGATAAACGTATATGTTTTCGGCAATTAGCCCCCCCCCCCCCCCTTTTCCCCTTCAAAAATCCTGGATCCATTTCTTAAACTCATGCATGGTGTCTTCGATTTTTAAATTAAAAAACGTTATATATAGTATAAAAAAACATTTGAGTCTTATGCAACTTTTGGGTTTATAGACATATCTGAAAACTGGCTGCTAGCGGAGTGGCTGCTAGCGAGTGGCTGCTAGCTTGAGTCTAACATAATAAACCCGTGAATAGGCTAAATATATATTATCCTGTCTATAACTATCTTATAGTGGTTCAAAAGAGCGATTATTAACTGTTCAATGTGCATAAAGATATCAGAATATATTACGTTTTTGTTATTTTTCGTTTGTTTATGTTTCAAGCAATACTGAATATCTGAATTATGTTTGTAATGAACGAGGGTCCCGATGGGGGAGGGGGTAAGGTCACTCAATTCTGTATTTTTTTTAGTTTTTAAGCCATCATTTCTATTATTTACATTTTAGTCCAGTATATTCTCTATCCTTTATATTTTAACACCCTATTTTTCTATAGTTTTTATTTGTTTTTTGCATATTTTTCTCTATTCTTTTTTTTTTTGACATGTTTTTCTATTCTTTATTTTTATTGGCCCATTATTCTGAAGTATTGGCCCATTATTCTCTATTCTGTAAACCCCATCAAGACCATAATTGGATAATTAACCTGCAAAACGAGAAACCCAGCGTTAGTGTTCAAGTCTTCAGTATTTTTTTTTAGATTCATGATTGCAGATAAAAGGGGGTTCGATATCCAGACCCTTTAACCCCTTTTCCCAACTCTATCAAATACTTGAATACCGATTAATTAATGGCTGCATGAATTCGAATACCGCACGTGGCAGGTGCACTTGACTCCAATGTTAATTGACTAGGATTGTCAATTTTCCTACCTAAGGAACTACTAGTAATCGGTGATTATCTCCGGGCACCCCGGCTTCCTCCACCAATAAAAACTGACCGCCACGAAATAGCCCATTAGTGTTGAAAGTGGCGTTAATACCAATCAATCAATCAATCCAAAACATTATTGGACTGTCAGTTGATCGAATGTGCTCACGGTAACAACGAATCTATATACTAAGATTTTTGTCTTACCTATATTAAGGAATTACGTAAATTGAAATGCTTAAAATTCGGACGAGCATAGCGAGGGAGAATTTAAACATAGCTCCTAGATTAAAGAGGAGTTTAAAGGGAGATTACTTTCACTTCATAGTATAAGATAACTTGTGACCATCAAAATACAAATTACCTAGTAAAACATACTGTACTGTTACATCACTGTCCCAGGTTAGGGAAGGGTTGGCGCGTCTTCAAACTAGGTTAACCCCGCCACATTCTGTATGTGCCTGTCCCAAGTCAGGAGCCTGTAATTCAGTGGTTGTCGTTTTTTGCTGTATATCATATTTGTTTTTCGTTCTTTATTTTGTACATACATCAGACCGTAAATTTTCTAGTTTGAATTGTTTTACATTTTTCATTTCTAGGCCTTTCATAGCTGACTATGCGGTATAGGTTTAACTCATTGTTGAAAGCCGTACGGTGACATATAGTTGTTAATTTCTGTGTCATTTGGTCTCTTGTGGAGTGTTGTCTCATTGTCAATCATACTACATCTTCTTATTTTTATAACTACAAGGGATGTAAAACTGTTGTCACATATAATTTGAATGGATGGATGGCCAAAGTATGGAAGAGACAAATCCCCGATAAATTTTCTTTTTGTCCAGTAGAACATATTTCATAATCAAAGAAATAAGTTTTTAAATTCAATAGTAAGTCAGTTAAGAATTAAAGGAAATGGACGGAGTATTTTGACAGTCACTGGTGGAAGATAATAGTTATCGAGTTTGCCTTAAGCAGCAATCCGGCAAAACACCAAGTTTGCCTTAAGCAGCAATCCGGCAAAACACCAAGTTTGAAATATGCTCCCCGGAAAAGATCAAATACTGAATATAGTAACATCCATTTAAATTGGGTGTAAAATAGTTCATTTTTTTTGCTAGACAAATTTAAAGCCCAGCAAAAGCCTCGAATTATGCCACAGAATTGTAACTTGTAACATGTTACAAAACAAAACAATAATAATAATATCCTTTTCAAAAGTCCGAATTCTAAAGGAAAGTATGATATTGTAGTAATATTGGGAATCAAACCACATGCACCTCCTGTTTTTATATGAAATCTAGGGATCTGTCTCTACCCAATATGCCTTCATTTTCCAGTGACAGTTCGAATGATTCTCAAATTTCCCCGACCTTCATTCCTGACGGCATCTATATAATATAGGACCAACCTGTTAATTGTTAATTTGTTCTCGTCCTGAACATGCATGAAATATTAGCCACGGGACGTTAAGTAACCAACAATCAATCAATCAATCATTTGGCTATAAATTTGTCGAGGAATAAAGTCATATGTACAAGGAATCGGTTACTTGATACAGAGTATTAATCATTTTAAATTGTATCTTATTATCAATATAACAATTAAATTTTTATCTATTATTACACTAAATTTACACTTTTATTTTCAATGCACGGTATACTATATGTACATATCTGTATTTCTCAAAAATCGTTGAACTTAATGAGCCCCTGTGAGAAACCGCTACTACCATAACCAACAACTTTAAGTGATGAGGTCAGTGATTACTTCGTTAGAAGATAAAAATGACCAGCTTAAAGGTCGTAATCGGGAAAAGGAAATCCATAAATATTACTTATCCCAGTTTAAAACACGGTTCAATCCTTCAAAAATTATCTTTCTTGATTTTCTGAAAGTGCGTCGTAAAATAAGACACGCCCCTTTCAATCATTTTACACAAAGAGAAACCGCACAACTGTCGCTCCGTGTCAGTTTAGATTTGAAATTGATAGCGTAAAGGATGCATTTTAATATTGTCTTGGTTTGTGTTGTGATTAATTTATATGGTAAGTATATTATACATGTTGATCATTGTTTAAATATTATATAGACTAAAAATGTCTAATATTTATAGACTTATAAAACGTTAACTTTAAAAAGAACGGTTATGCTGTTAAACATGATCGGATGACTAACTTCGGAAGCTTGGTGCAAATGAAATGGAAATGTGGGTTGTAAACGCAACTTTGACTGTATCTCGACAAATTTACCAATTGCACACCTATTTTATTATCTATTTATTTTGAGCTAGGTCACCAAGGCATTACATTGTGTAGTATATATATGGAACATGTTTTGTCGTCTGATATGTCTGATCTTAAAATTTACAGATTTTGCTCCATGCCCTATGGCATTTTGACTGTGTCTGGTGCTGAAAGGGGGGTTGGGGGTGTCGCCCGGTGGTGTTCTGTTACCCTTTTCATATAATTTAGATTTTCAAAATGTTTACCTTTTCATATATTGTATAGGTAAAAATGTATATAACCTTTTCCCTTGGGTTTCGTGTGGTGTGTTGGAAAAGTGGAATACCAAAGTGTCAAAAGAGGGAAAATTTGTGGAACACCATAAAAGATGACGAAGAAGAATTAACAAATAATAAAAAGTACATACAGCAACCCCACAAAAAAAAACAAGGGTAAATTCAGATTCCTTACGTACATGATGTAATGTTGACTTACGACAACACTTTCGGCTGTGAAAAATAACAGAGTTTTTCAGATAACGAACTGTATTGACCTAATATATTTCTGGTATTTTACCCACCTATTCACATATTGTCAAGCTGGCAAATATGACCTATTCCACAGGCACGTCCCATCATCTTGTATATATGAAGTGACCCCTCCTCCCCTCCCCCTTCTCGAGGTCTGGTGCACATGCCGGATAATATTAGAATAAGAAATGCATACACAACAGGAGAGGCTTACCATTCGACGCACCCGGGCGACTCTCTGTGTTTGTAGCCTGAGATACTGGCAAGCTGACTTGAAATTTGAACCACACACCAACAGCTTGGTTCAAATAAGTGCTGATATGTTCAATTGACATTCATGCATGTTATAGTACAAACTATACGTGTGGTTTGTAATTAATAATCATTGCTTCCTAAACATGTTACATATTTCAAGTTCTTTACATTAGATTTTATCAATACTTATGTATCTCGACATCTATTTATTGATGCACACTTTTAGTTAAATTAAAAATTTAAACACTGTCAGTATAATATAGCTGAGAGGGTTAGAGTATATTGTCATGTCAACCGAGGCGAAGCATGTAAAGTTACATACGTAAGTCATTAGAAAGTAACAACATTGAATCAAGATGTATTTGGTTATGTCCCACCGTAGGCAAAGGGGGCATTAAGTGTTATCCTTCACTGTCCGTCCGTCCGTCCGTCCTTTCAGTGTTATCCTTCACTGTCCGTCCGTCCGTCCTTTCATCCTATTTTCGTTTCCGCAGTCTAACTTAAGTTTGCTTCATCCAAATTTTTTGAAACTCATACACAATGCTGAGAACCACAACACACAGAAAGAGTTCGAATTTGAGCAGCGAGTCATTTACCGTTCTTGAGTTGCCTCCCTTTTTTAACTTGGATCATTGCAAAGCTTGAGCGGGGGCATCTGTATCCTCAGACACATTCTTCTTTCAACATGTTGACAGTCTTTGAAACTTAGAACTCGAGCATTGCTTTTAAAATTATTGATGTTAATTCAGTTCAGTGTTTTCTTTATCGATTTTTGATTGATCTGCAAGAAAGGGCGATATTAAAAAAATGTTTCCCCGATAGAGTATAACGCCTCCCTCGTATTTACCAGTCAAAACATGAAGTATAATAATACAGTGTATTTGATATGAAGAGTTTAAAATGTCGCAGCCCACAAACATACTAAAAATCGTCTCCAATCGCACTATCCTCAGTGCAACCAATAGTTACCATCACACCTCACCCCCACCCACCCCCGAAAAAAAGAAACCCGTCAGATTTTAATTTATCAATATTTTTGTTTATGACAGTCTGTGATGTATTTGCCGGTGAATGCTGCAGATCGTACACAGACATTACTGGGGACCTTCACTCGCCACAATGGTGCTCCGACTTCTGCTGTTATGATCCCAGAACTGTGGGACTTACCTACTACTGTTGTGAGAGCACTGTGTTACAGGCACCAGACGACATGAGAGACAGTTTCTGTGTCCAGTGGTGGGCCGCCCACGTGTAAGTATAGTAGAAACGAGGTGTTTAATAGTTTTTGATTGTACATGTTTAGACACTGATATACGTAATTAAAATTTTGTGTGTGCTTTTTTTTATGATTCATACTTATCACACGACACCATTTTGCTTCTTCGACAATAAACCATAAAAGAAGAGACGTCTTAATGCTTAAATCTATTTATACAGGTGACATATTGTAAGTCTTTGTTACCTCTTATGGTATTTACGTGAATTTATGGATCTATTGCCATCGCTTGACCTCACTCGTCGTCTGTCATGCGTAAACTTTTTACATTTTCATCTACTTCAGTCAAACCACTTTGCCATGGCAATGTTAACTAAAATTGTAACATGAATTGTAATTTTTCACTTGTGTTTCGAGTGTGTTATCTTCTGTTATTTTTAGAGGATTGCCTAAACTGATTAAAACTTTGGTTAGAACACTGTCGAAACCAGCTATTGACCGCAAAAATAATGATAGGAATTAGGGAGCTACCATTTGATATCTATGGGGGGGGACTAGGATGAAAAATGTTGTCCTGCATTTTTTTTCATTTGTAATCTCTATCCTGCATTTTTATTTTTCACTCTATTCGGTCCTGCCTTTTATTTTTTAGTTTATCCTGACTTTTTGTACATAAATTGTCATCCTGCCTTTTTTTTTTTTGCAAAGTGTCTCATCCTGCCTTTTTTTTTACTCAAAACCTCTGTCCTGCCTATTTTTTTCAAATTTCATCCTAGCCCCCCATTAAGATCAAATGGTAGCTCCCTTAATCAGGGAATAAGCTTTAAAATTTCACTCCAGGGGCACAACTGACAAAATGTGAAAATTGTGTATTGACCACATTTGAATATTCTGTTAAAGAGTTAGGGGCCCAGCCAAATTTCCAGTAGCATTGGCTACTGGGTCCCTGTTAATCTTATTCCCTGAATTTAACCCTGTGGTTGGACTAGTAAATAATGAATGAAACAAAATGTAATGAAATAACCAGAAATTTTTGCTAGTCATTTTGGTTGAATACCTGTTCTGTCGTGTCGGATTTAATATTCCATAAAAACATGTCTAGATGTTTAGTCATTTTGTCTATTTTACAAAGATTTATCTCCGTGAGTTGAGCATTCTTCAAATATTTGTCCCTGGACCGTACGCAATCAACAGTTACAACCAATCAACTAACGGATCTTTTTCAAGTTTTGGGAATGGAAGAACAGTAATTTTAGTCGCCTACCGACGAAGTCGAAGGGGACTTTAGGTTTGGACTCTGTATTTCTGTCTGTCTGTCTGTCTGTCTGTCTGTCTGTCTATTTTCCACACTTTTTTCTTCGTGCTTGAAGATATTGATTTAATATTTGATACATATTTTCATCATGACAAGTTACAGATTAAGTTCGAATTTTGTTCCGTTCTGATGATTTTGTCTAGAGTTATGGTCCATGGACTTAGTAAATTCACTCAAATATTCAGTTTCATCACTTTTTTTCTTCGTGCTTGAAGATATTGATTTGATAATTGGTATATAGTGTTATCATGACAAGTTACAGATCAAGTTCGAATTATGTTCCGATCTGACTATTTTGTGCCGAGTTATGGTCCTTGGACTTAAAAAATTTACCCAAATAATCAGTTTTCCACCCTTTTTTTTGTCGTGCTTGAAGATATTGATTTGATAATTGGTATGTAGTTTTATAATGACAAGTTACAGATCAAGTACGAATTTTGTTCCGGTCTGATGATTTTGTGCAGAGTTATGGGCCTTGGAATTGGAAAATTCACTCAAATAATCAGATTCCACACATCTTTTCATCATGCTTGAAGATATTGACTTGATTTTATTATATAATTTACACCATGACAAGTTATAAATCAAGTATAGCATTTTGTTCCATAATGAAATTTAACCGGTAGGGGACTATGTATTGCCATGCAACTCAGAATGCTTGTCATAATTGGTTTTAAAAAAAGGTACCTTCTTGTCAGAGGATGATTTAGGGGAAGGGGACAGACCCCCCCATATGAAGCTTCATATATGATAAATTCATAGACTTTTTACAAGTACTACTCCAAACTTTGGCTTGTCAGGGCCCCCCTTTTCAAAATACTGGATCTGCAGCTGCTTGTCATAATGTTTAACTCCTATAAAACTACACGTCCTATTCGGAGTTTGAAGGCAGATAAATATCGAATAAGATTTTGCATTCCCCCCCCCCCCATTTTTCTCTAAAATTTTCGGAATGAAAAAACTTCAATAACGCATTAATGGCTCTCGGGTCTGTAAACTTCTATGTAAATCCCACGGCAACAATTCATTTACATATAAAAGTAAGGAGATGTGGTATGATTGCCAATGAAGCAACCACCACAGTTAAAATGAAGTGGATGTAAGTAACTATATGCAACTAAACATGTTTCCATCGCCCAACCCTCCCCTAGCCGGGGACAGCGGTGTAACAGCACAAGTTGCCAACATATGAACAAACTATAAACATCAGTTGAAAATGGCCTAACTCGTCAGATCGATACAAATTTACATGTTTCATAAATACACATCCTACTGACATCTGCTGCAGGTGTTGATTTTTTGCTGAAATGAGAGATAATAATCACGCCATTGTTTGATTTACATATTTAATTCATGAATAATATTAAAGTTTTCTTGGTCCGCATTTTCGGGAATTTTTATACGATGATTCGTAAAATGCGTGCTATGTTTATAACTTAACAGGAATTATAATGTATGAAAAATACTTTACACAGTACTTAATTTGGTTTTGACAATATGAACAAGTCTTAGACCAATACGGGGTCTGGTACTGCGTCAATGCATGCAGTTGATTCATGATGCATGTTTACTGTCAAAACATAAACCGATCAATCCCTTCATTAGAAGCCAAGAAAAAATTGGCGATTTTTTTTGTTCAATGTGTGTTGTAAAACTTTGAAGTACCGGCAAACCAGAAGTAGCTGCAGGACAGATGTAAAATTGCTTTAATACATGCTGTAAATCATCATTATCAAGCTGCAAACAAAATATATCAAATAAATAAAACCAATCCCTTCATAGAACCCTAGAAAAGTTTGACGAACATTTTCCTTGTACAGTGAGTGTTGTAAAATTTCAAGCACGTGCATAACGACGTTTTTTCTTAGTCTATTGATTTCATGTGATCAATAAAGATTTAAAAAAAATGTAAATCATCGTTTTACTTTTAAAAAGAATGATTTTTGTGTGTGCAGAATCGGTCAACGAAATGGGTCTTTCCAGTGGCTCCCTTGTTTCACTTTTCAATGTTCACATTCTTTCCTTTTTACATGCGTAAATTTGAAGGTCGCATGAATACGGATTCCAATTAGTTGAATTATTGACTTGCAAGCCAATAACACATTAGCGATGTTTTAAGCTTATTTTGGCATAACTTTTAGATAGATATAGTGTAACTTGAGCGGGCGATTCAGAGTATAAGGAGAATATTGAGATTTCCTATTGATTCTTTTATTAAAGTTCAATTTTTAATGTAGTTTTGTAAAATTCAAATGGGACAGGAAGCATATAACATTAATAGAACATATTATAAGAAAGGTATTATTTTTGATAAACTCTTGACTCTAAAATATTTTAAGAATTAGATTCAACATCAATAACAGGACATGAAAACACGGATATTTTTTTCAATAGATTAAACCTGTTTTTAATAAGGAAATTTTTTAAGAACAATGTTTTTGAAAAATATGAAAACATTAAATATTACAAAACCTAAATAACTTGTATGATAATTCATTGTTATTCCTTTATATTTAAAACTTTTAACAGATCTGTATGAAATAAGAAGATTTTCTATTGAATCATGTTTTTTAAATGACAAATTATTACAAAATTTCGAGTCAGTGATCATAAGTTAGAATTATAAAGAATAGACTATTTTAATATTACCGACTTTTGACTCCGGAGTTTATATTTTTTCGACATGTTACCTTCAGCTCTGTGGTAGGACATCCTGGTACTCGGTCAAGTAAGAGCAAACTAAAAAAGTAATATCAAGCATACGATCGGTACAATTTAGGGGTGATTTTAACTAGTGTATGTTTTCTATACACAACAAAATGTTCAGAAAACAGTAAACTTTCCCCCAAATTGCACCGATTATATGTTTGATTTTACATCTTTTGGTTGCTCCCACCTGACAGAGTACCAGGGTGTCCTACCATAGAGTAGGTAACCTGTCGAAAAATTATAAAATCCGGAGTCTTAAAGTTAGTTATATGAAAAAAGTCTGATGATGGATATCTTTTTTTTCTTTATTGAAATAGTAATAATCACTTGAGAACGTCAACGAAAAGTTCCCATGGATATCGTATATCATTTTGTGAATGTAAATATCTGTTCATTATTGCAATGTTCATATGTAATTATGTATGTTTATTGTGTATTGCTTTGGTCCGTATGGACGTATTTAGAAAATAAAGTCTATTCGACGATTAGAAATACAAAAAAAAGCTAATAGTTTAACGATTGGAACAGTTTTGAAAAATATTAAAAACAGCAGTATTAAAAAGTAAGTCATTTGTAAACATGGTAAATTCAACTGATTCATGAAAGTAAATACTCACACATCTGTTGGTGAGTCCAACTATTTATACGACCGCAAAAAATTTTTTGGGATCGTATAATGGTATGATGTCGTCGTCGTCCGAATACACATTGGTTAACGGACAATAACTTTAGTTTAAGTGAATGGATCTCTATGATTTTTTTTAAGAAGGTTCAATACCACAAAAGGAAGGTTGGGATTGATTTTGGGGATGATGGTCCCAACCGTTTAGGAATTAGGGGCCCAAAAGGGGCCCAAAACAAGCATTTTTCTAGTTTCAGGATAATAACTTGTGTATAAGTATTTCGATTGCTCTGAAATTGTACCACAATGTTTAATACCACAAGTAGAAGGTTGGGACTCATCTAAGGGGTTATAGGGCCAACAGTTTAGGAATTAAGGGCAAAAAAGGGGCCAAAAACAAGCATTTTTCTAGTTTCCAGACAATAACTTGTGTGTAAGTGTATGGATCTCTCTGACATTGTAACACAAGGTTCCATACCACAAAGGGAAGTCTGGGATTGAGTTTGGGGTTAATTGCCCAAAACATGTAGGAATTAGGGGCCAAAAAGGGCCAAAAACAAGCATTTTTCTAGTTTCCAGACAATAACTTGTGTTTAAGTGTATGGATCTCTCTAAAATTGTACTACAAGGTTCCATACTACAAAGGAAAGGCTGGGATTGAGTAATGGGGTTATTGCTCCAAGGAGGGTTTCAAAAAGTTGGGGGGAAGGGGATTTTTTTTCCAATTTATTAAGGGGATTCATATTTTTTTTTCAAAATTTTTCATATTTCGTCGAATTTTTGAAAATTTTCAAGAATAAATCTTCCATTGCACAGTATTGCGCATAGATTTGAAAGATCTTTGACCACATTTATGTTGTGTCAGAAACCTATATTATGTCAAAAATTTTATCACAATCCAAATTCAGACAGTATCAAGCTTGAATATTGTGTCCAAATTTGCCCCAACTGTTCAGGGTTCGATCTCTGCGGTCGTATCAGGCTGCGCTCAGCGAAGCATTTTATTTATAAAATACTTTAAAAAATATAATTGTGTCCCCTCACTGAACCTCAGTGACACATTATTCATTTTATTCATAGGTTTTGAAATTAATTTATCAGTCTTTAAATTATTAAGTAAAAGTCCTGTGTGATGGCTTGTTCACAATGGAGAGACCGCCGTAATTTGTTTCAACTACGATCGGACGAGCGAAATATAGTTACAAAGGACGAGCGAAATATTGTTACAACGGACAAACGGACAGCAGAATATGCATCCATGATGTATCCGTAATGCATACTTTCTTTCGTATTTTCTGTAGTGATTAATGTTCAAACTATTTTTAGATATGTTCCTATCCTGATTGGTGTAGCATTTCTGGTTTTGATCACGGGTTGTTGTTGTTGCTGCTGTTGTGGGTGTTGCAGACGACAAAGTTCTGGAGTTATCGTGCAGCATCAAGCACCATCAGGTACTATTAAAATTGATATCGTAAAGAAAAGGAAAGCAATGCGAAGAACATGTAATATTCAAATTGAAACTCACATTTCAAAAATGAAATCACGAATTAAGGGACTTTTAAATTAAGAAGCAATTTCAGTTCAATTTAGAATACGTTTTACCTCGGTTAAAAAAACAACTACGATTAAAGGATTTTTTTACCTATATGAAAATAACATGGAAATGACATCTTTTTACTAGATGTTTGATCTTTACTACTTTAGTCATATTATTTGTTTTTAACCAGTTGTTTTCTTTCCATAAAAGTTTACATAGATAACATATATGAGAAAAACATGACATTAACGGTAATTTATTCAATCCTTTTAAAAGGAGCAAAATTCATCATTAGTATAGAACATTCGAATCGATCATGCTTATTAAGACATTTCTCCTTTTTCAGGACCTACAATAATGGTTCAACAACAGCAGCAACAGCAGATGTCAACACATGCTGATCCATATCGCGCAGGATATAACCAATGAAAATTGTCCTTTCAGTGCTAGAAATGACCAATGAAAACAGCTGTTTTCAAATAAGGATTGTAAAAACGCATATCAATGCATATATGTACTTTAAAGATTACGAAGTAACATTTAGTTATATTTCTGACATCCAAAAGGATGAAAATAGTGAAAACTTTAAAAATATATAAATAAGTCTATAATGTGACTCATCAGTCTTGCTAAAGGGGTAGTAGATATCCCCAAAAATGTGTGCACTAAATTTGTCTTTTGAAATTATTAATGTATCATGTATTTTTTTCCCACAAATAGAAATTTATTAAAAAGAACACTTACCTTACCTTACCATGATGATTACAGTATTTTTTGTTGTTAAAATAACGTAAGCGATATGTAAAATTTCTGTTTGGCGATAAGGGTAGCCAAAAATACGATTAATTTAACGCTACTGAAACGAAAAGGAGTGTTAAACGGTAATACCCATACCTATAATACTATACTAGTATGTCGGAAGGACAGATCTCCATTCAACCCCTTCCTTGTCACCCATATACTCCTTAATACTTGTAATACCTCTTAAACTCGAAAAGTTTTGACCAATCTAATGTATTTGTCAAACATGTGTTCTCCCTCTTGCGGCATAAGGTATGGTGACAAACACATCTGCAACCCTTCTGGAATAAGTTATATGACGTTTTTATCTCCTGATAATAACATCTTATATAAAAAAGAAGAGGATTTTGTTCTATATTCTATTTTTAGTACATGGGGTACATTTGCCTAGCCCCTTGAAATTTGTATTTTGTTTACAAATTTATAGATAAGTAGTTTCAGCATAATAGTCATGTGAGTGTGCGCGTGCGAGTATTTGAGAATATTTGGTCATTTTAGTTATCTAAATTATCATTGTAGATACTAGCATTTTCTAAAATTATTTCACACCAGTATAATGTGTAACATTTGACATACACTGTGTTTAAAAATGCCAGTACTTCCTATGATCAGTTTGAATTCGTTTACTAAAAAATGGTCTGTTTTTGATAGACATGACGTCATGTGGCTCAATAAAATAGCAGCCAATCAATAACCGACAACAGAATCTGATTCAATAGGGTGTACAGTGTAAATATATGATAAGATATCAATGTCATTTTTAAACGCGATGTACACCACAATCAAACGTCTTAAGATTGCTTATTGTTATTTTGTAATGTTTTAGCTTTTTTTTTTTCGGAATTTTTTTATGCTGTTTGTAGTATCAATGTACCATATTTATGTGAGTTATTATGATGCTTTGAACAGGAGTTGAAATGTTTTATTATCGCTTTGTTGAGGATCTGGATGGGGTTTACAGAATAGAGAATAATGGCCAAAAAGAATAATGAATAGTGAAAGTCGAGCAAAAAAGATAAATGATAGAGAATAATAGGATGTAAATATATATAGAATAACTATGGAAAATAAAAGAATTCGGCAATACAAAACTGCTTATAGAAGTATCTGATGTACAGAATAAAGTAAGAATCTAATCGCAGAAAATTTTAATAGTAAAATCATTTTCATGAGAATTTTATAGAATAAGCGTTATTTTTAAAAACAAAGTAAGATGCCCTAGAAATTTAAATAATACCGAAATTAACGACCCCCATGCAGACCCTCTTTGCTTATTTCTTTTATTTTGATATTGAAGGATGATTAATGGTAGAATTTGATTTATTTATTTCAAGCCAGTAGACTGTAATTGGATAAGTAGATGCCAATGAAATTTTTAATCACTGTGTACACTTCCAAAAAAATTAATATTGTTTAAATTGTTATTTTATAATGTTGTAGCATTTTCTTTGGCATATTTGGTAAGTGGTGTTAAACTGCTTTAAATGATTGTAATATACTAAAAATTTGATTTTTTTTTATTTTCATATTCGAAAGACGATACATTGTAGAATTTTGATTTTTTAAGCGGATCATCTGTTCATTTTTTTCGTTTCTGTTAGTTTGATATGCATAATGTTCATTGATAATAAAAATATTTCTAATATACTAGACTTAGCTTTCCTTTCATGCATGTAGCGTCTATCTAAAAATTTGTCTTATTTTTGTTTGAATGAAAGGAGATCAGATGTAGGGTATACATGTATAAGTCAATAATTAAGACATCAATATAACGACATAGGAAAAAAACACATTTACAAGTCAGTAGATGATTCAGATTTTGGAAACTGTTACCTGTAAAGTCTATCTTAAAATTTGTCTCATTTTCAGGTGATTTAGGGTGTACGTGTATAAGTCAATAAAACATCAACCCAACCACACTGAAAAACGTAAACAAAAATCTATACAAGTCCGTAGACAATTCCGATTTTGGAAACAGGGGACATGAATAAATTTCTTTACATTGTAAACCTGTCCAGCGGGTTTGGTTGTCTACGAAGAAAGCAAATACAAGCTGACATGTATGCATGGGTTTTGCTCATTGTCGAAGGCCACACATATAGTTGTTAACATCCTTGTCCTGTGGTCGCGGTGGATAATTCTCTCATTAGCAAACGCAACACAGCTCCGTATTTTGATAAATGAATGTAAGATACAGATGTCAGTGCCGCTTACATAGATTTATAGTAGATAGTCCGTCCGTACGTCCCAAAATTGGTTTCCGTTCTCTAACTTTAGTTTGCCTCAACCAAATGTTATGAAACTTATACACTATGCTTATTACCACAAAACACATATCAAGTTTGAATTTTGGTGGCGTCACTTTTTACCGTTCGAGAGTTATGCCCCTTTACAAATGGAAAAAATGCTGAATTTTTCGTTTCCGTTCTCTATCTTTATTTTGCCTCAAAAAAATATTATGAAACTTATACACAATGCTTAATACATCAAAACACAGATCAAGTTTAAATTTTGGTGGTGTCACTTTTACAGTTCTAGAGTTATGCCCTTTACAAATGAAAAAAAAATGCTGAAATATTCGTTTCCGTTCTCTTACTGAAGTTTGTCTCAACTAAATGTTATGAAACGTATACACAATGCTTATTACCACAAAACTCAGATCAAGTACAACTTTTGGTAGCGTCACTTTTACAGTTCTTGAGTTTTGTCCCTTTATAACGTTATATGCAACGGGGGCATCATCAGTGTCCAATGGACACATTCCCCATTTATTTTTCACCTGTACCCACGAAATCCACGAAAATTGGTATCCAACGGATTATAATGCATCCACAGTAGCATTGTTGGTTCGTCTCCTATTCTTGTTCATTCATCTTCACATTTGGATCGAATGAGTGTCTATGGTTAATTAATAGTTGTTAACCAAGCTCACCGTAAATTAACGGCATTGCAGACAATCTTCCAATTTTTCCCGGGTAACAGTTACTGAGTACTAGTATATGTATAATGACTCTTAAAGTGAGGAGTATATTTCAATCGCCTTGTCCGTCCATCCGTTTGTCCAACAAATATTCTCAGGAATAACTGAACAGAACGACATAATATTTGATCAGAAGCTCGACAGTGAAGAGTTCTAACATGTACACAGGCACATTTCGGACCTGTCAGACAACTTCTTTTTCTTAGCTGATACTTTAAATATTTCAACCAGATAAATGACGACAAATATTTTCGTCACACTTTTCTCAAAAACTACTAAACAGAAATACTTCATATTTGGTGAGAAGCTTGTGAGTGATGTTGTAACGTTTAAGCGCTATTTTTGATCTGTTGGACAACTTTTCGGATATTTGAATTACTAGTGAGGTATGTTTAGCACAATTACAAGTGGAGGTATGCCTAGCACGACAACGCATGCGTTCTTGTTAATTCTTTTCGTCAAAGATCCTCGTCAATGGTAAATGTAAAAATCAATAAAAACATCGACCTACAGCCATTTGTTCTTTATAACAACATGAAATTGAGGTCGATTAAAAATTTTTTGATCACAAAATTATACAACAGTATCTTAAAAACAATTGTACGACTTTGTCCCCAGCAGAGCTATAGAAAAACAGTACATTAACGGGTGTTACACGGACACTTTTTAGATGATACACGGACACTTTTTAGTTGTTACACGGACACTTTTTATGAATAGAATCACTCGTGCATGATCAGTGAGTTCATGGGCACTTTAAATTTCAATTAGATTTGAACTTTTTGTTTCACCGACATATTTCCTGTCTTTTTAATTAAAATATTTACGTTAGCATCAATAACTATTAATTTTTTTCAAACAATTCCAGTAACTATTCATATTAGTACACTAAGCGATTGACCATTTAACTTCAAAAGGTGGGTTATGGTTTTTTCCTAAAAAAAACATTTTGATCCCCAATTTTATGAGAAAAAAAATATAATATATTATATAGTTGAAAAACTAAATAATTTTCTTACTCAGAAAACAACACACCCCCTTTTGAAGCTAAATGGTCGGTCCGTAAATGATTTTTTTTCAATATATGGACATGAATAGTATTCTGGACAATGCAGAAAGAAATGCTGGTACCAACGTTTATACTTCAATAAAAAAGACAGGAAATATATATAAAAAAATCAAATCTAATCAAAAGATAAAATTCCTATCAACTCACCAATGCACGATTGATCCTATAAATAAAAAGTGTCCGTGTAATACATGTTCAAATAGGCAGCAAATCTGGAAGAAAATCATTCAACTTATGTCATCAATTTTGGACGGTAAGCTCTGATTGGATCATATAATGACACGTGTTTAATCCTGATCAACACTATCCGAGACATATAAAAACCTATAAGGATGAACATTTTTTTTTAATCCTGCATTCTTTCAACAAAAAAATCCTGTTTATTTTAATTTTATTTTAACCCCCCCCCCCTTTTCCCCCAATAAAAATCAAATGGTAGCTTGCTTACCTCTGAAATCTTTTTTTATACATTACTTACTTGCGAAGTTGCATTTCAAAAATTCTCAAATGTGTATAACATTCACCTTTAACTTGAAATGGTTCTTTTTATAAAGTTATTAGATTCTTGAATTTTTTGAGAAAAAAACTCTCGGCTGAAGGGAAGTGAGAAAAAAAAATGAGTTTAAACTGTAACTTACATTAACTGGTATATGGCCATTTAAGTTTCTAATATCTTTAGTTTTGCTACCTCTTCTAAATGCAAAACATACTTCTTCCTTCTTGAAACGTCATACAAGTCAGATACAAAACAAAGGTAACTAAAAACAGGCCGGAAACAACCTGCCGTATAGTTTGTCTGCACTTGTAGTCAGGTCAGGGTCCTCGGCGATCGCCTCGGACCTTGACCTGACTACTCGTGCAGAAAAACTATCCGGCAACGGTTGTTACCGGCCTGTTTCTTTGTTACCTTTGTATTGTATCTAATACATACCCTGATGTCACAAGCCCTGATCTGTTATCAAATCTGGTCCTGAATGTCGGACTATTAAAAGGCAGGTAACATATTCGTATTACATTAAAATCATATCGTTCTGAATATGCATGTAATACTTGCTACTGTACGTTGAGTATTAATCATTCAACTTTGTTTTACTAATCAGGATGTATACATGTTTAATTGAGACCTACGAGAAAACCCTTTCTATTAGCCACTGTATTTCGAACTTTGAACATATATTTTGTTCAACTGTTTTAACGTAACGGACATGAATTGATTTGATCTCTTTTTTTTCTCTCTCAAGTTTTTACCCCACTGACTTAGGTCCCAGCTTTGATCTAATTCTACCTACATGGCATTAGTGAAAAGAATACTATGAACTTTTTCGTCTTCCTTCCTGTGATTTTGACATTAGTTTTGTTGTTTTTCGTTTTTTGCCATGACGATGTCAGTTTGTTATCGACTTATGAGTTTGAATATCGATTTGGTATATTACGTTTCTCTTTTCGATGTCAATAGAAATTAAATTAAATGAAACTAAGAACAAAAGTATTAAGTTTATTTAAATCGACATGTTTAAATACAATAGATTGATAAATAATTTGTAACATTTCATCAATTTTACATTTGAAATAAACCCCGGAATGAAAATCATCAATTTACATCTATTGTTTATAAAATCTATCATTTTGAAAAAGAACTCCAATCGATCATTTGTTTTGGGACTCAACGGGGAATATATCTAAACATTGTAATTTGAATTCACACAAAACTGAACTGTTGTCACCAGGATAAATAGCAATTGAATTATGACAAGAAGTATATTTTTCTGTATTTTATGTGCATATGTTATGCTTAATTTGTTTGGTAAGTTTTTTTGTTAAAACCAATTTGTGTTACGGTTTTTCAAGAACTCTCAATGTTTTTTTAATGCTACACATAACTATGTTTACTATATGGTACTGGGTTTTGCTCATCGTTGAAAGCTGTACGGAGACATATAGTTGCTTACATCCATGTCATTTGGTCTCAATGGCAATTATACCACGTCCCCTGTTTATGTCCCCGCCGTAGCGGAGGGGGGGGGATTAAGGTTTACCCTTGTCCGTCCGTCGGTCTGTACGTCCGTACATTCGTACGTTCCGAAATTAGTTTCCGTTTTCTAACTTTAGTTTCCCTTGACCAAATGTTATGAAACTTGTACACAAAGCTTATTACTACAAAACACAATCAAGTTCGAATTTGGGTAACGTCACTTTTACAATTCATGAATTATGCCCCTTTTATAAACATTAAAATTGCTGAATTTTTAGTTTCAGTTCTCCAACTTCAGTTTGCCTCAACCAAAAGTTATGAAACTGCCTCATCCAAAAGTTATGAAACTTATACACAATGCTTATAATCACAAAACCGTCACTTTTACCGTTCCTGGGTTATGCCCCTTTATATATAGAAAAAATGCTGACTTTTCGTTTCTGCTCTTTAATCTTTAGTTTCCCTTGCCCAAATGTTATGAAACGTGTATACAAAGCTTATTATAACAAAACACAGATCAAGTTCGAATTTGGGTGGCGTCACTTTTACCGTTTCTGAGTTATTCCCCATAATAAATGGAAAAATTGCTGAATTTTTTCGTTTCCGTTCTCCAACTTTAGTTTGCCTCAACCGAATGTTACAATTCTCTAGTTGTGTCCTTTTATTACGTTTGGTGCAAGCGGGGGCATCATCTTAGTCCCATGGATACATTCTCCATTTATTTTATATTGTGTCAGGGATCCCCGGTTCGATCCCCGCTGATGAAGCAGTAATTGTAGAAGGAAAGCATGCTGTCTATACTGTTAGAATACATACATATAAAAACTAAAACAAAGCGATTAACGACAAACAAATATGACCTCTCCCCCGCTAACACATATCTGGGACGGTGGTTTTACAACTGAAAAAATCAATTGAATATGGCTTAACTTAACAGATTGGTACGGAGCGTATAACCAACAGAAATACAAACATGAGAGAACAGGTACCGATGTAAAAGTGCTAGTTCAAAATCAATAAAAACAAGTGAATCTGTGAGCTACTGCTCACTAATGATACCCCCGCCCCGCTAAAAGTATAAGGTAAACAGGAAGTTATTGAGTGATGAATCTAAAAACGCATCACACGGTATAGCTGCATGACTCATATAAACCCTGAGACCAAATTTCTGAAAACCTTGTATTACATGTAGTTCCTGAGAAAAATGCGACGAAAATATTCATGGGACGAACAGACGGACTGACGGATGGACAGACAGAGGTAAAACAGTAAAACACATTTAGTCGATTTGAAAAGTTCACTAGAGCTTGTGTTTATGTAGTCTGTTTACTGAAAATAGACTTTAAATGACCTAAAGACTTTGGAATGAATTGTGCATTAGTATGTTAAATGTCTGAAACAGTCCGACATCTGGATGGGGTTTACAGAATACAAAACAATAGGCAAAAAATGCAGAATAAAGGGCAAAAAATGAAAATAAATAAAGAATAGAGAATGATGAGCTGTTGAAATATGAAGAATAGAGAATAATGAACAAAATTTGAAAATAAATGAAGAATAGAGCAAATTGTCTAAAAATTTGAAGAAAATAGAAATGAAGGACCCCCATCTACACCCTTGTATATGACAGTGATATGCTACTGTTCTCAATATGCCATCCGAGTACTAGTGATAATTATATTTGATATCAAAAAGAAAATTATGCGTTCTATTTCCTCACTTTCTCTAATCATAAATGCATCTATTTGAAACACGATTTTCATCTGGATTGATTGATTTTTGCATGCTTAAAGCTACGAGATATAAAAAAAAATTAAAATAATGATTGTTTTTTGTTCAATCAATATTGAAACTGATATAGTGAAATAATCATTCGCTTTTAGCAGCCAGTTTGGTTCAACTTTGCAAGTGAATAATTCGACCTCATTAATTGAATCCGTATTCATGTGACCTTCAATTTAACCCCTTAGCTAGAGATGGGTTACGTATGAATTAGGCGTGTTCAGTTATTAAAAGGAAAAGAATATCAACATTGAAAGTGAAACAAGGGTAAACCATTTGATTGACTGATTCGATCCACAAAAACTCATTCTAATAGAGGAAAAAACGATGATTAACTTATGTTTTTAACCTATAAAATGAAATCAAACAGACCTAGAAAAATCCAATCGCACGAGTTCGCTATCTATCTATTTATATCTATATTTATGTTTGTATTGGGTTATATGAACGTCGGCAGTCCTCGGAGATCACCTCGATGGTTAATTAGATGGCGTGTAGACTAAAATACACACGAAATGCTGATACATATTATCGAGCCCATGCATTGTAAATTGCTTATTTTAGATAATTAAGATATACGCTTTAGTATGTTATAAATTAAACATGAGTATATGAGTCAAACTGGTGAACATGAATTTGACAGCTAATGCCCCATTAAATTAAAAGGTTCATCTAAAAAAACTGGGCATACTACATTTGGGACCCTTACCGCCTCTCCTTTGGAATTAAAAACTATAATGATTTTCTATACAGTAACCGAAGTATCTGGTGACGAATGCTGCAAGGAATACACGGTTCTCAGTGGTATTAAATTCGATGCCAAGTGGTGTCCCCGCTACTGCTGTTATGATACCCTTTATCAAGACTACACGTGCTGTGAGGATGAATCGAAAAGAGCTTTATCTGATCATCGAGAAGAATTCTGCAGCAAGTGGTGGGCAACACATGTGTAAGTACATAAATGTTAGGTTGTGGCCAGTAAATGTGTAAGTACATACATTTTAAGTGGTGGGCAGCAGACGTGTAATTGCATATATGAAAAGTGATGGACAGCGCATGTGTAAGTACATATATGTTAAGTGATGGGCAGCACATGTGTAAGTACATAAATGTTAGGTTGTAGCCAGTAAATGTGTAAGTACATAAAATTTAAGAAGAGGGTAGCACATCTGTAAGTACATAAATCTTAAGTGATGGGCAACACATGTGTAAGTACATGAATGTTGAGAAGTGGACAGTACATGTGTAAGTACATAAATGTTAAGTGGTGGGCAGCAAACATGTAATTGCATATATGATAAGTGATGGGCAGCGCATGTGTAAGTACATATATGTTAAGTTATGGGCAGCACATGTGTAAGTACATATATGTTAAGTGATGGGCAACACATGTGTAAATATAAGTAAGAAGGTGTGGTATGAGTGCCAATGAGACAACTATCCATCCAAGTCACAATGTGTAAAAAGTAAACAATTATAGGTCAAAGTACGGCCTTCAACACGGAGCCTTGGCTCACACCGAACAAGAAGATGTAAAGGGTCCCAAAAAAGACGTGTAAAACAATTCAAAGAAGAAAACCAACGGTCTAATCTATATAAAAAACGAGAAACGAGAAATACTTATGAACCACACCAACAAACGACAACCATTGAACAACAGGCTCCTGACTTAGGACAGGTGCATAAAAATTCAGCGGGTTTAAACGTTTAAACAGGCGCCAACCTTCATTCTAACCTGAAACAGTGGTATAACATTACAACATAATAAGACACACAATAAAATATCAATTGAAATGGCTTAACTCGATCAAAAAGACAATACACAAAAACAAGTAAATATACACTGAACGAATAAGTTTGATCTATGACACAATATAAATAAAACAGATGTTTCAATGTCAAAAAGACAACTTTAACCTAGGACAAAATGGCTTTAAATAAAGTAACGTACACAGGTAAATTTAAATATAATAATATTGTTGTTAGGAGTACAGAAACATGTTTACAAAATAAATTTGTTATTCATAGTACGAGTACAGAAGTGAATTTTTTTTTTCGTCATACTAAATACTTATCAAAGGTGGAACATATTAAAAATAGTAAGACGAGATATAACACAAAATAAGTAAACATTGATTAACAGAAATGCATTACAGATTGTGTCAACAGGTCAAATTAACACGAAAGTACGATTTGAGAGTACTCGCAGTTACTGAAAGCTAGTTAAAAGCCAAAAACAATTAATAATAAAAAATCATGCATCAGAGACTAAAATCAATTAAAACACATCCCAGGCAGGGATTTAGTATTTTAACGCCATGGACAGTCAAAGAAGACATGACTTGTGCAATGCTAAAATAAAAGTAACGACAGGCAGTAGGATAGTTAGGATTTAACCTTATGATAAATATGTATGATGTTATGTATAGATAAAACAATTTCTAAATAGAAAATAAACGTGGATGTGTATATATACATCCCAAAAAAACATTCGAGCAGAATACAAATTTAGTTGATGACAAAATCGATGTTAGTGCCATAGAAAACAATATTCAAAGATCTTATTACAACATTCATAAGATAACCTTTTCTAATAAGTTTGTTTAAAGGTTCGATGAGTTTACACGGATCACATAGTGATTTCAGCGCTTTTAGTACAATATTACCGTAAAATACCATTTTTAGTAAGTTTCCTACAGGTACAGCCTTTACTAAATACTTTTACTTTTACTTTTAGTAAATGTTTTAAGTAATTTATGGTAACGAAATCCCTGACTAATAATTTACCAGTGATACAATGATTACGTTCGTTAAAATCTATGACATCACTACACACATGGGAATAACGAACGAGTTGGGATATATAAACACCGTATGATGGAGCCAAAGGAACATCGTCGTATTAAAAAGGAAAATTAACAATAGGGAATGAAAAATCGTCTCTTTTGTCGTAAATTTTTGTATGGAGTTTCCCTTTAGAAATTGAAATGTCTAAATCTAGAAAATGACAACTACTGCTGTTTATGTTAGATTTATTTAAAGTAAGTTCCTTTGGGTAAATTACTGCATAATATTTAGAGAATTCTGGATTATTTAATGTAAAAATATCATCAAGATAACGATAAGTATTGTTGAATGTGTCAACTAAATGTACCAATGACGTGTCTTTATTAATTTTGGCCATAAACTGTGATTCATAGCAATATAGGAATACATCTAAAGAGGCAATTAGTGCCCATAGTAATACCTACTACCTGTCGATACACTTTATCGCCAAACGTACATATATGTTGTCCAGGAGAAAATTTAAAGCTTCAATCATAAAATTATCTTCACATTTCCAGTAAGTGTATCTAGCATACTTTCCTCTTTCGTTACAGAAAAGGACTTCAAACGAGTAACAGCAAATAAATTTGCAATGAGATTTTTCAAAAGACCATTTAATTAAACATAAAACTCTTTCTTGATAAGATTGTGTGGAAGGGTAGTGTAGAGAGTAGAAAAATCATAAATGTCAACAGAATTAAAAGAACCATCAAAAGCAAGTATTTTATCTTAAACCTCTAAAGAATTTTTAACACTCCAAAAATAATACCATTATTTTCATAAACTTTATTACAAAAGTTAATAACAAGTTCTGTGATAGTAGTAAGGGAGGTAGTTAGAAGCACTGACAGATTAGTAATAGATCACTTACGTACATAAATGTTAAGTGATGGGCAGCACATGTGTAAGTACATACATGTTTAGTGGTGGGCAGAACACGTGTAAGTGCATATGTTAAGTGATGGGGAGCACATGTGTTAAGTATACATAATTGTTAAGTGGTTGGTAGCACACTTTTAAGTACAAACATGTTGAATGATGGGGAGCACGTGTGTAAGTACATAAATGTTAAGTGATGGGCAAGGCAGCACACGTGGAAGTATATACGTTTTAAGTAGTGGGCAACACACGTGTAAGTACATTAATGGTAATTGATGGGAAGCATACATGTACGTGTAAGTACATAAATGTTATGATGCAAGAAATTTTGTTGATTAAATGGCGCAACGGGCGTGCCCTTGTCAATGTATATTTGTTCAACCGATAGAAGTAATTAGTTCACATGGTACTACCAAATACATTATACTGATTGATGTAGATGTAATTATTATTAAACCGTAGACTGTTGATTCAACCTTTGTTTTATAGGCACGTCGCTGTTCTGATTGTTGGAGCTATGATTGGCAGTATAAAACGTACATAATTAATTCAACCTTTGTTTTATAGGTACGTCTAAGTCCTGATTGGTGGAGCTGTGATTGGGTACGTCTAAGTCCTGATTGGTGGAGCTGTGATTAGCAGTATAAAACGTACATGATTAATTCAACCTTTGTTTTATAGGTACGTCTAAGTCCTCATTGGTGGAGCTGTGATTGGGTACGTCTAAGTCCTGATTGGTGGACCTGTGATTGGCAGTATAAAACGTACATGATTAATTCAACCTTTGTTTTATAGGTACGTCTAAGTCCTGATTGGTGGAGCTGTGATTGGGTACGTCTAAGTCCTGATTGGTGGAGCTGTGATTGGCAGTATAAAACGTACATGATTAATTCAACCTTTGTTTTATAGGTACGTCTAAGTCCTGATTGTTGGAGCTGTGATTGGGTACGTCTAAGTCCTGATTTGTGGAGCTGTGATTGGCGGTATAAAAATACACTTTGATTCGACCTTTGTTTAATAGGTACGCCACAGTCCTGATTCGTTCAGCTTACTGTATAATTGGTGGTATTACACCGTAAACTTTGAATCAACCCTTGTTTGATATGTACCTCTAAGTCCTGATTGGTGGAGCTGTGATTGACGTTATAAAACCCACTGCAGGCACTTGTCTCTGAAAACAAACTTATATACTTTAATATAACAGAAGGTACCTAACTCGTATATTTGAGAATGTCACCCGTCGCAAACTTCCGTTATATTTCGATTCTGCGGATTCTGTGTTATATTAAAGTATATAGGTAAATTTTGTTCAGTGGCAAGTGCCTGTGATGAAACCGTACACTTTGATTCAACCTTTGTTTTATAGGTACGTCTAAGTCCTGATTCGTGCAGCTGTAATTGGCGGTATAACGCCGTGAACTTTGAATCAACCCTTGTATTATAGGTACTTCTAAGTCTTGATTGGTGGAGTTGTGATTGGCGATATAAAACTGTACACTTTGAGTCAAACTTTGTTTTAAAGGTACGTCTAAGTCCTGATTATTTGGTGGAGTTGTGATTTGCGATATAAAACCCTTACACTTGATTCAAACTTTGTTTTAATGGCGCGTCTCAGTTCTGATTGGCGGAATAAAACCGTAAACTTTGATTCAACCCTTGTTTTATAGGTACGTCTTAATCCTGATTGATGAAGTTGTGATGGGAGATTTTCAACCGTTAAAAAAATATTTATACAATGTATTGATTCAACCCGTGTTTTATAGGTACGTCCCTGTTCTTGTTGGTGTAGCTTTGTTTGGCAGTCTTATTATTGCCTGCTGTTGTATCTACTGTTGTGGATTGTCAAGTGGACAGTCTATGGGATTAAATATTGCTTCCAAATTTATAATGGTATTCTTATTATACAAATACACATTACTTAAAAGAAGTATCAAAAGATAAACTGTTATCTCCATAGAAAAGCATATAAGCCGAAGCCGAATGACGAGATTACATAGTAATATAGTAATAATTGTATATTCTCCATTTTATCAGTAAATAAGTAACGTTTCTCTTCATATATCTTAATGATTAAAAAATCAAACATTTTAACTTCATGCTTCAGAATACAATTTGTAAATATTCTCTCATATTAGTTCCATTAAAAAAATAGGTCATTGATATTAGAATTTCAATACCAGTAGAGTAATTTATGATAAACTGGTCGACTTTTCCTTTACCTAAATGATAATTTTGAGGTTAATTTTGAGGTATTGCATCAATATAGAATGAAGAAGATGATTGCCAATACGACATATAGAAACCAAATGGCGACGATCTCAACCTATACGTCACCGTACGGCCTTTAACAATGAGCAAAACTCATACCGCATTAAATGACCCCATAAATCAAAATGCTAAAGAAATCAAAAGGGAAACATAAGTCCCCGCTATGAACCTTTTTTCTGACACGTTTTGCAGATTTTTCATGAAGTTAATCAGAATATCATTCTTGTAATTATTTTTATATTTTTTAATCTATTTTCAGTAATGGTTTAACATCAACGACAATATCTCACCGATCCATGACTGATATGACAATAAATGGTACCATTGTCACATTCGTACGTGCAACATCGGATACGTCTCCTTTCTGGATCATTTTACCCTTACCTGATTTCTCAATCCTTCGAGATTTTGAATAAGGATATGTATTTTGCAACTCTGAAATATGATTAGTATTATAAATATATTTTGCTAATTTGGAACATACGTTTGTTGAAATATTTCTGTAATAATAACTTGTGTGGATAAAGGAAGATGTTGACACTATGCCAATGAGATAGCTACCTCGACAAGACCAACAATCATCATCAACATTGGGAAATCAGTAACGTCCTTGTGTGTTTTTTTTGTACACATATAATCACTTAATTTCAGAGTGATCGTGGTTTTCTTGTCGAGCATGCGACCAAAGACGCGGGAGCGAGACATAGTGGTCTTACATTCCGTCGTTGTCGTCAAATGTAGGTTCAGTCTGTGCACGTGGTTAAAGTTTTTTTTTAACCATTATTAAAGTTTTTCCCCCAAACATTAAAAACTTTTGTCAATTATTCAAGACATGTGAATTTATTGAACTTTGACAGAAAGATTGTCATGATAAAAAAAATCAGTATTCGGTGCATAATTTTGATATTATATTCAATTTTCCATTTTCTTTATTTTACTGATAAATGGACCGTTTTTTTTGGATGCGAGACTAAGGCATGCTGTTCCCGGCGGCGTTGGTGGCGTCGTCAACTACTTGTTCAAGTTTGTGATTAGGTCAGTGATATTTTGTATGTAATTGTATAAGCATTGGTACCTGTCATTTCCATGGAGATTATTTGAACCCAACCCCTTCCGCCATGGTCTATTGACTTTGCATATTTTACTTAGTTTAAATGTTAAAGTTTGGAGATTATTTGGCACCGCCCTCTCTGTCTTGGTCTATTGACTTTTCATGGGTATAACAAAGATGGACATGTCGATATAGCTATCTGCTCTTTTCTTATTTTGTTCAAATATTTAAAAATATTCATTGTCATCGAAATCATTGAAAAGTCATGTCATTTATTGCTGAATAAGTACTTTCTTATTTATTATAGTCCGGGGATAACTGAAAAGCGAAAATGGTTGACAAGCATACTGTAAGCATTTATTGAAAATATGCATTAATTAAGCATATATAACTATATCGTTGTAATCCACTTTGAAATACAATTTTGATAATGACTGTCAATATATGATTCAGTCATATTCATGTAGACAGGTGAGAGACATATATGTGTGTATAATCTTGTTAACTTGACTAAGATAAAATTGAGAATGGAATTGTTAAGGCATGTATGCTAGAACGGAGGTCCAGTTGGATGGGGTGTAAAAAAAGTATGAATTTTTACACTTCTATACGTTTTCCCTAAGAACTGTCATAATATATGATGTGGACTGGTGTGAACTTCACTTATGAATTCTTTACTTTTTAAGCCATTTTCTCTATTCCTTATTTTTTTCTCATTATTTTCTAACCCAGAACCTAATAATGGAATAACAACTACGTTCATGTCGGTGTCCACATCTTCTCCTAGGATACGAATTGGATTGAAAGCCATCGACCTTTGTGAGAGAGATGAAAGATATCAAAGGGATATTTAAACTCATAAGTCGAAAACAATACCATGGCAAAAAACGACAAAGAGAAAAACAACAGTATACAAAACACAACAAAGAAAACACAACACGAACCCCACAAAAACCGGGGGTGACTCGGGTGCTTCGAAAGTGTTAGCAGATCCTGTACTTTGACAGATCAACAGTGTGTTATATGATGACCAAGTGACTCATAATTTTAGATTCGTGTTCGGTTAAGTCAGTTTCAAAATGTAAAAAATATTAACAATCAAATGACATGGTGTAGAATTGTATCGAGTGCACACAATATCACTTTGACCTAGTAAATTCCTTAGATACATACCAACATATATACAAAATTTGAAAAAAGCCACCAAAATCCAAAAGGAGCATATAATCCAGTGCATGTGGTTATCGTCAATTGTTATTTGTCATACATGTACTTAAAAGCTTTATACTTTAAAAGGTGGAAGACTTGGCTGCTCCATACTTTGTATATAGATGCCTTATGTTATGAAGTTTCCGTCTGTCATATGTCTGTTGTCCTTGACCTCATTTTCATGGTTCAGTGACAACTTGAAAAAAAAGTTAAGATTTTTTGTTAATTTCTCTCTTATAATGAGTAATAGGTAACTATATTTAGTATATGCATACCTTGCAATGTCCTCATGCCCATCAGACAGTTTTCATCTGACATCGACCTCATTTCATGGATCAGTGAACAAGGTTAAGTTTTCGTTGTCAAGTCCATATATCAGATATTATAAGCAATAGGTCTATTATATTTGGTCAGGTGTATGGAATGATTGTAAGGTGTACATGTCCAACTGGCAGGTGTCATCTGATCTTGACTTCCTTTTCATGGTTTAGTGGTTAAAGTTAAGTTTTTATGTTTTGGTCTTTTTCTAATACTATATGCAATAGGTCATCTGTATCTGGTGTATGGAAATATTTAACGAGGTACATGTCAGTCTGGCAGGTTTTATTTGACCTTGACCTCATTTTCATGCTTCATTGCTCAGTGTTAATTTTTTGTGTTTTGGTCTGTTTTTTTCTACACTATAAGCAATATGTCAACTATATTTGGTGTATGGAATGATTGAAAAGTGTATATGTCTGTCTGGCAGGTATCAATTGACCTTGACCTCATTTTCACGGTTCATTGGTCCATGTTAAATTTTATGGTTAAGTTTGTTTTCTTAGATACTATAAGCAATAGGTCAACTATATTTAATGCATAGATTGATTGTAAGGTATACATGTCTGTCTGGCATGGCTCATCTGACCTATACCTCATTTTCATGGTTCATTACCCAATGTTAAATTTTCCTGGTTAAGTTTGTTTCTTAGAAACTATAAGCAATAGGTCAACTACATTTTGTTTATGGAATGATTGTAAGGTGTACATAAAATTGAGAATGGAAATGGGGAATGTGTCAAAGTGACAACAACCCGACCATAGAGCAGACAACAGCCGAAGGCCACCAATGGGTCTTCAATGCAGCGAGAAACTCCCGCACCCGGAGGCGTCCTTCAGCTGGCCCTTAAACAAATAAGTATACTAGTTCAGTGATAATGGACGTCATACTAAACTCCAAATTATACACAGGAAACTAAAATTAAAAATGATACAAGACTAACAAAGGCCAGAGGCTCCTGACTTGGGACAGGCGCAAAAATGCGGCGGGGTTAAACATGTTTTTTGAGATCTCAACCCTCCCCCTATACCTCTTGCCAATGTAGAAAAAAACAAACGCACAACAGTACGCACAGTAAAACTCAGTATAAAAGAAGTCCGAGTCCGATGTCAGAATAGGAAACAACAGAAAATAAACAAAATGACAATAATACATAAATTACAACAGACTACTAGCAGTTACTGACATGCCAGCTCCAGACCTCAATTAAACTGATTGAAAGATTATGTCTTCATCATATGAATATCAGGCACAATCCCTCCTGTTAGGGGTTTAGTATTATACCGTCATAAAATATATGAGAAGAACATAACCCGTGTCATGCAAACAACTGGTTTTAGAATAAATGTGTTAATTCCGATGCAAAGACCCTATAAGTGAATCAATATTAAAGCCAAAATATGCAATCTTTAATGACCTGACAACAGTATCGTAACTATATCCCTTCTTAATAAGTCTGTTTAAAGGTTTTGTTAGCTTTTGAGGTGAATACTGACATTTTTGTGCTTTGTAAAGAATATTACCATAAAAGATTGGATGTGAAATACCCGAACGTATAAGATGTCTGCATGTTGAGTTATATTTACGAATGATGTCCTTATACCGATGATAAAATTTAGTAAATGTTTTGACTAGTTTATGATATCGAAAACCCTGGTGTAATAATTTTTCAGTAATACATAAATTTCTAAAATCTAATACGTTGTTACATACACGAGCGAATCGTACAAGTTGAGATATATAAACACCATAATATGGTGACAAGGGAACGTCACCATCTAAAAATGGATAATTAACGATAGGAAATAAAAATCATCTCTTTTATCATAAATTTTTGTATTAAGCTTCCCGTTATTGATATAGATATCAAGATCGAGGAAAGGACAGTGGTCATTGTTAATATTAGCTTTATTTAAAGTAAGTTCAACAGGATAAATTTCTTTAGTATACATACTGAAGTCGTCATTATTGAGAGCCAATATATCATCCAAATATCTAAAAGTATTGTTAAATTTTTGTATAAGATGTTGTTTCGATGGGTCTTTGCTGATTTTAGTCATAAATTGTAACTCATAACAATACAAAAATAGGTCCGCAATAAGTGGTGCACAGTTAGTCCCCATTGGAATTCCGATAACTTGACGATATACGGAATCTCCAAAACGAACAAAAATGTTATCAAGTAAAAATTCAAGGGCAGATATAGTATCAAAGCATGTCCAATTGACATAGTTCTTTTGTTTGTTGCTACTAAAATATGACCTAAAAGAGTTTGAACATATGTATTCGCATTCCGACTTTTTAAATGCCCATTTAATTAGGTGTGTGAATTTTTTCTTAATAAGAATATGAGGCAAAGTGGTATATAGGGTAGACAAATCAAAACTTTGAACAGATTCAAAATCACCAACATATGCATGCAATTTATCAAGTACTTCCAACGAGCTTTTGACACTCCAAAAGTAATTAATTCCACTATTTTCAAAGGCCTTATTTGAACAATTTATTATCAGGTTTTTGAATGTACCAAGTGTACTAGTAAGTAGACAATTTAGTAGTGGAACAATGACTTGCATAGTTAGGACTTTCATTGTATTTGGTTCTGCTGGTAAAGAAGTAGCTAGTAGTTTATGTTTGTTACAGATATCGTTTTCTGAAAATGAAGTCAGTTGGAATGTTGGTGAATTGGTGATTTCCTTTTGCAGAACCTCAATGTAAAATTTACGTCAAACTATAATGATATTATTAGCAGCTTTATCAGCCGGGACAAAAAACAAATTCCTTGGCTAGTTCTTTTAGTTTATGTTTGATACGAGAAATAGGATTTTTAGGGTTGTTGTTAAGAGTAAAATTTTCTTTAAAATGTTGTATACGTATATCAACTATCTTCATTACTGAATTAAAAAAAGAGTCCAAAGATTTTTTGTCAGCTTTTTCCCGTTTTATCCATTTCAAACAGTAAGCACGAAGTGAGTCGTGGATGATAGTACGACACTCATTCCAATTAATAATTGACGGGGGACGATATTTAGGTCCTTTAGAGGAATGATTTTAACTCTCGGTCGCGAACAATGTTAAGTTCTCCTGTTATAACATGGGAAATGGGGCCATAAATGTATTCGGAATTACTACAGTTACATGATGTAGGTGTATTTTCACTGATATTTACATCTTTACAGACTTGGCTATAATTAAACACAAATTTCCGGGTAGATTTCTTGTA